ATGCTGGCCACATAACCATCTGTGTGTGGACAAATGCCGGCTCCCTCGGCCTGAAAGTGAGATGAGCGCCACAACCCCATAGTCGCCTTTGACTGGACTTAACCATCCAGGGGTCCTTTTTTAACCTTTACTGCCACCACTGCCTTCAGGGTAGGACTTTAGGGGAGAAATCCAGAGCCCCAGTCAGCAAAACGGCCAGGAGGGACCCCAAACGCAAGACGGTCAACTTACTACATGCATAGGCAACCTGATGCCCCCCCGGAAATGTTGAACTACAACTATTTACCCCAGTATTCCACAAATGCCACTCTCTGGAGCAGCAGATCTCTGTGTTGTCAGCATACTGCTGCCAACGTCCTTCAAGACTCTGGATGACCCCACTCAGCGCTTTCATGTAGATAGATGTTAAGCAGCATGAGGGATGAAATCAAACCCTGAGGAACCCACGGGGCCAAACAACACTTCACAAGCATCATCCTCTGTGAACAACCATCTAAGTAAGATCAGAACCACCACGAAACAGTGCCGTCCACTCCCAGCTTGGACAGCCACTCCAATACCATGGTCAAATGCCCCGGGAGGTCAAGAATAATGAACAAGGACACATTTCCCCATCTCTCTCCCTACAGAAATCATCAAACAGGATGACCAAAGCAGCTTCTGTGCCAAAACCCGGCCTAAAACTCAATTGAAAAGGATCTAGAAAATTGGTTTTCACCAAGAGAGCTGGGATCTGATCCATGATCACCTGCTCAAGGACCTTGCCCAAGAAGGGGAGATTGACAACTGGCCAGTAATTACCTAAATTTTCAGAATCTAGGGAATGTTTATTTAGAAGTGTTTTGACCACTTCCTCCTTTAAGCAAGCAAGGACAAACCCGTCTCCTGAGGAGGCATTAATCACTTCCCTGGCCCAGACAGCTCTCGCCTCCCTCTTACTTTTTATCAGCCAAGTGGGTCAAGGGTCAAGGGTCCCTCTGCATAGGATTCACTGATGTGATATCTGGGTACTGTATTCTTCAGTGGCTGTTCACAAGATGCTCATCTGCTTGGACCTTTGGCCCAACCCAAGAGAGAATGTCTTACAATCTTAAACATAGGCTAACATTGTTCCCTGCAGTTCCTTGCTTTGCTCTGCGTGCTTAAGAACAAGGATCTCCCTCTTCAGTTTTCAGTGGCATATGGGAGGGCTAATCAGCTGTGAAAATATCTCACAGACAAAGAGCCCATTGGGGGTTCCTTCAGTCTGCTGCAGAAATCCAAACTTGCCTTCCTCCATTGGGTCTACTACAGTGTAGATGATGTATTTTTAGGCAGTGTTTATTTATTGACTGTATTTTAAAACGCAGCTCTGCGGCCCCCGAAAAGCCGGTTTCCTCTTCCATTGAAACCAATGTTGATATTGGCTGGCAACTGTGTGATATTGTGGCACTGATTTGTATTGGCTCAGGCAGAGCGTAGGCGGTGGTGTGTTCTTAGCAGGAAGAATACACTAAGTGCCTACCTAGTAATCCAAAGACAGCCAACCTGGTGCCTTCTAGATGTTTTGGACCATAGTTCCCATCATCCCCAGCCAGCATGGCCAATTGGTCAGGGATGATGAGAATGAAAGTCTGCAACATCTGGAGACCACCACACTGGCATGACCAACCACTGTAGTCCATGTATTGGTAACATTGAGGCTGGATTACTGCAATGTGTTCTATATCCAGATAATGCAGAATGCAACATCCAGACTGTTGATGGGGGCATCTTGCCAACAACACGTGACACCATTGCTAAAACATCTGTGCAGGCTGCCCACCTACCACAAAACCAAGCTCAAGGTCTTTGCAAAGCCTTGAACACCTCGAGTCCAGTGTACCTTAGGGACTGCCTAGGTTCTTATATCCCAGCTCAGTTATCAAAATCGTCTTCAGGAGTATTATTGGTTGCCTTCTGCAATGGTGAGGCTCATGAAGTTGTAGAGCCTTTGGCATCCTTGGCCAAGTCCTAATGAATGCTCTGCCAACAGATTCAGCAGCCACCTTCTGTTTCAACATTTAAAAGCCTGCTGAAAACTTTTCTTAGCTGCCAAGCTTACGCCGCCAGTTAAGAAGGTATCTTTCAATAATGGCTGTTTGATGTTCTCCGATTTTAATTTTTAATGTCTTTTTATTATATATAGATATGATTATAAATCACTTCCATTTTTTATGGGATGGAGGTTCTGAATATAAAGAGCAGGAGAACAGAACACACTTGAACTGCACTGAGTAATCACAGTCATCTCTAGCCTTTTAGGGCAAAGCAACAGCTGGGATCTTGGTCCAGGTCACAAAACGCCTCCTGAGCACTTTTCTGTTTGCAGATGCAAACATCGCAACTTGTAGCCGGGAACTTGACAGGCCGCAGGAGCACACTGTGCCTTCCTTATTAGGCAAAGACTCTCTGAAGCTCTGCGAATTGCATCTGGTTTGTGGCTTATCTGCTGGAGGATTTTTGCCGTTTCGTAAATACAGCACCGCCAGACAATTCACCCAGACGTGCCGCAGCAAGGAGAGGTGTTGTGCAGGCTTCATAAAAGGGCTGGCTTTGCTAGAGGGAGCAGGGGGGAAAGGACTTGCTGGAAAGAGCAGCGCTGTTCTGAAAAACGGAGGCTTGTTCACCCGCAGCAGCCAGCTGCTTGAAAAAAGGCCTGTTGTTCGTATGCCAGATTCCACCACCCTATGGCCAACAAGTCATGCATGTGACTCTGCTGCCATGTGCGCAACCTCCACTTCTCTTTGGCAGCTTCCCTCACAGGCTGGGGAAGGGATGTTTGCGGTTTAGAGGCCTGCAGCCTGCGCAGCCACAGGGGAAAGACTTCAAAAGAGCAGTTCAGAGAAGGGGTCCCAAAGGCAGCAGGATACTACATTTTTAAGCAATACAGTACATGTTATAGTCTCAAATGGGTCCTCTCTGTAAGGCCATTCAGTCCAGAGTAGGGATGGGGGGGGGATTCAGTTAGGTTTGCATTTTAATGCATATCTACCCCCTGGCGTAGCAGCAAATTCAGAAGTGCAGTGTTGCTTCATGAAAGTCACAGCCTCATCGCTACACCTTTCTAGGACTCTACAACCTTCTAAGATTATACAATAATCTTATAATTCAATATAACGATGACGACAACGATGGATGCATTGCAGATCTCCACGTGTTGCCTTTAAGCTAGACGTGCTGTTTTCTGTGCACATAGACAGGCAAATGTTTTTGAATGCTCCCTTACCTTCTTCAAGACTCAAGTTGTGCTTTCCTTGTACAGTGGTACCTCGGTTTAAGAACAACCCTGTTTACGAACTATTCGGTATGAGAACTCCGCAAAATCGGAAGTACAGTAGTACCTCGGGTTACAGATGCTTCAGGTTACAGACACTTCAGGTTACAGACTCCGCTAACCCAGAAATAGTACCTTGGGTTAAGAACTTTGCTTCAGGATGAGAATAGAAATTGTGCGGCGGCAGCGCAGTGGCAGCAGGAGGCCCCATTGGATAAAGTGGTACCTCAGGTTAAGAACAGTTTCAGCTTAAGAACAGACCTTCAGAACGAATTAAGTTTTTAACCGGAGGTACCACTGTAGTGTCCCGGTTAGCAAACTTTACCTCAGTCTACGAACAGAAGCCAAACAGTGGAAGGGCACTAGCGGTGGGAGGCCTCATTAGGAAAAGTGTGCCTCGGTTTAAGAATGGACTTCAGGAATGGATTAAGTTTGTAAACCAAGGTACCACTGTACATTATGAAGACCTTGCCCACTGTTCTCTGGAAACTGAAGCGCCTTGCGCTTTCAGTGTTCCTCAATGCTTAGCTTTGGAGGCTACAGATCAACGGCTTCTCACTGTTCTTCCTTCTCCGGAGTTAGCCTTGGAGATGGTCCTCAAGGGCCGGCACAGCTCCTTTCACCTTGATTGGCCTCAAAAACCAACAATAGCAGGAAGGACTGCCTGGCCTGGCCTTTCCTACATTAAAAATGCCCCCTTAAACATAACACACATTTCACCGGATGCCATGAGAGATGTGCAAAGAGATTCTCTGTGTTAGGAAATGCCTTTTCTCACACTAAATGGGGAGCAGACCCCACACCATTCGTCTCTTTTTCTGCTCTTTCAGAGGTAGCAGTCATTTTGTGTTATGCTACACCCACATGGCAGCCATTTTGCGACTTGCATCTATGGAAATTTCTATAATTTCTAGGTGTGCCCACTGTCCCCGAAAAGTTTTGAGACTCCTGAAATGTTTGCATGTCCTGTTGGTTTTGTTTCATGCTCTATAGAGCACACTCCACTTTTTTTGGGGGGGGGGTGTTGTTGAAACATACCCTTAAGCCCAAAGAGAAAAATCAAGACACTCAGAAAATCTTGGTTTAATATATATATATATTAGTTTCTCAGGATTTTATGGACTTGGGTCACCAGTTATCAATATGTGTGCTAACTACCTCATAGGCTTACAAGGATGCCACACTTTTCAGAATGAAACATTTTGGAAAGCGACTTCTCCCACAAGAGATTCAATCCAGCCGGTATTGCCAAAAGAGGCTTTAATTTACTCTTATTTACAAGATAGTATAGAAAATAAGTTTTAAGTTGCTGTTAGTATATAGGTTGTAGAATATGTAGCTTCTAAATTTATGGGGGGGACGGGCACCAGCTGTGACGATTCAGAGGTGATTTTCTTGTTAAGGTTCCTACGGAAAGCACTTTGAGAAAATATATCAGACAGTTATTCAGTGTAAATTAAATATGTACGGCATAAATGGATGACGCAGGAGATACCAGCAGGTATTTCCTTCAGTGCGTAACTAGATAAATAAGGGCCAGTTCACACATTACATGGGGTACAGCGTTGCACAGAGCAGTACAACTAATACTGGCGTCTTCAGAAATGTGTCTGTGTGGTTTTGGCTCCAACATGTACAAACATCACTTTCTGTACACTTTATGACTGACAGTGGAACGTGTGGCATGACTTGGGTTTTTGTTTTGTTTTTAAAAAAGCACTATGTTAAGAGATGATGTGTGATCTCTTTTTGAGGTTGATGGCAGCCTGTTCACATGTGCAGATCTCCACGCGATGCTTTGCTGGAGATGAAAAGGCATGTGTGAACTAGCTCTTTTTGCAAACTTGTGTTAAGTTCACAATCATACATTTTTTAGGCACGCACAAAAGCCATTGTGGGGTATACCTAAAACAGTAATGGGGAGGGAAGTAGCCCTAAACACAAATATCTACCACCCTTTATTTAAAAGGCAAGCTGCTAGTGCAAAACAATTGCATATATGCTAAAGAGGAGCCCAGCTTCAATCCAGTTTTGCTCCAAGTTTGGAGAACTAGAACTTAGATATAATCATGTGATGAGTCACATGATCAGAGCAGCTCAGCTCCCCAAAGGCCAAGCTGGGAAAGCAAAGAAAGGCAAGGGAACTAACCTGAGTGAACATAATGAGGTTGTTAACTATTGCTTGGGGGACCCCCCCCCACTTTTGTGGTGTACTTACAACTTTTCAGGGCCAGCTCCAAATTTGAGAGTCCCCTTACATTGGCAGGTCCCTCCATGGCAGCTGGGGTGGGCACCTACAGGCCACCATTTGACATTTCCCACAATTCCTCCAGCACAGCATAACTCTGGGGTATTGTGAGACATTAAATGGGAATATAAAATGCTTAAACAAGAGCTAGACAACCCACAGTAGGAAGGTGCAAGTGTCATGTGCAAGTGTCAGTACTGGTGGAGGCTGCTGGGACAGCAGAGGTCCCAGCAATTGCTTGAGGGTTGCTAGGCCCTGGTACTAGGGCCAAGGTCAGGATTAAAGAAATATGCTCTGAAGTCATGTGGGGCACCATGGAAGAAGAACCGGAAGTCAAGGGACAAAAGCCTCCTGCCACCCTGGAGAACCATTCAGCCCCCATTGTGCCTCACAACAGGCAGGGTGGCTGCCCTTCCAGCATCCTCATTTAGAGCCAAACCAAGCCTTATCAACAAACCCTTCAAGGCAGCTTGCCCACTTGCCCACACATATATTTGTTAGTTATTTGTGGCTGGCCACCTGGAGGCCAATTTTATTCACCAAACAGGTTGTTGTTTTCAAGCCTGTCATAGGCATTCACACTGTGCTTTGTATTAAAGCGCTCTGATCTACACCAATTTTGTAGGTGATCCAGAACACTGGTGGGCACTAGGTAGCTCTTGAGGCACTTTGTTAGAATATGAAGAATTCTACCTTCCTCCCTTCCTTTTGAGGAGGGGGTTCCAACCCTCAAAGGTGCAGAAAAAGCAAAAATGAGCTAAGCCCGTCCCTTTGGGCTTTGTTAAGTCATTGTTCACCTCAGTGGCGTAGCGTGGGTTGTCAGCACCCGGGGCAAGGCAAGTAATTTGCGCCCCCTAACCCGTGGATTTGCACCCCCTAACCCGTGGATTTGCACCCCCTAACCTGTGGATTTGCCCTAACCCCAGATGTTGTGCCCGGTGCGGCCGGCCCCCCCTGCACCCCCGCTACGCCACTGGTTCACCTCACTCATTTTCCTCGTTTACCCTGCAGGAATAGTTGCATGGTGTATTCAGCAAGAGCACAGGGCCACTGTGCTAGAAGTCAGCAACAAGAAGCCCCAACGAGAAATCTCTCTTCCTCCCATGAAAACTGATGCATCCTTCTCTGCCTCCACGCCACCCCGCTTGCTTGCCAGTGTACAGAGAAAATGAAATCCATGGCAAGGCTTTGCTAGCTGGCCATTTGAGGGGCTGTGGGTAAGGGGCCTCCTCCAGGAAAGCCAGCCAGGGTCATAGGTACTAAGTACCACTGTTTCCTGCCACCTAGCCTGCACTGCAAACGATTAGTCACCATTCGCTTGTTTATTAATGTGGTGCCAATTTAATGCCCGCACAATTGTTGTTGTTTTTTTAATGACATGTGAATGTTAAAAGAAGCATCTGAGGAAAATGTTAAGCACGAGGTTCCCACACTTCAGGCCCCAGAGTGCAAGAAGAGCTCGCATGAGAAAAAAGCAACTAAACAGAACTGAAAGTAAGTTATTCTGATATCACGAGTCCTGGAAATGGATAGCATTAATTTCATTGGGGAGGGGGAGCAGGTGTGTAGAAAAAGTAATACTGGGGGTTGGGTGTGTGTGCCTATGCTCATGGGTCTTGCAAGGGTCGTTTTCCTAACATTAGCCCCTTGTTCATATGGTTGCCAAAGCTGCTGCACCATTTGCGTGGTGGGAATGAAGGTGCATGCCCTCTCCTCCTTCACTGCGCATCTAACAGAACACACAGTAAGGTCATCTCCACATTAAAAAACAAAAGAGAGTTAGGGAGAGCTGTGCATGCGCTGGCTTCCTGTGGGGGAGTGCCATGCACCCCATCCTCTGCAATTTGCAGTGGATGGCTAGCCTGGCAAGCATAGGAATTCTGCCATTGCTGGAATGCAATAAGGTTACTATCCACGTCCCCTAAGTGCTTGCTTAAGTCTCTGACTGGAGTCTCACAGCAAGTAGTTAGTGACTCTTCACACCCTGTTTCCATAAACTGGCAGTTCCCAAACTTCAGACCAACCACCTGCTTTAGCTGGTAGGTTTATGGAGATTCTCATGTGCTAGAGTTTGTGTTATCACTTCCACTTGCAAGAATCTTGTGGGTCAGGACAAATGGCTATTAAAGGTGGGTTTCAGGAGGTGTCCCATCCCTGTTTTCCCTCTACTCTCTTGCCAGGAAGTAAATAACCATCAGATGATCTAGGCTTTCAGTTGCTGCTTGCAGAACTGCTGCAATGGGTCTCCAAGAGAGCAAGAAAAAGAGCAGAGAGAAGCCCTTCCCTTGTCCTCTTAACCCCCCTGCTGCTGTCACCTGACCCACCAGGGGGTTCCAGCCCACAGCTTCAGCTCATCAGAGCGATACTTTAAAATTACGTTTCCCCCCTCCTTCTTAGCAGTGCGCAGCAAGATGACATCCCCCCGTTTTCAAAACACCGACCTAGCGGAATAGTGGAAAGTTGTGCTGCGATATGGCAACATTTCAGCTAAGCCACAAAAAGCAGAAGCGCCTTCCTTTCAGGGAGCACTTCTCCTATACAGAGTCACTAGATCCTTCTGCGCCCCTTTCCGAAGCTCAGCCGGTTCCTTTTTCAGTTCTCCTAAATCTCTGATCTCTTGCAAGACCTGCGAGGCTTGCTGGAGCTGCTTTGCCGCCTCGTTGAGCAACGTCTCAGCATAGATCGGAGGCCCGTTGCTGCCATCCTGGGCCTGTTCAAATCCCCCCCGCAAAACCTCCTTCAGAAGTTTCTCTGTTCTTTCCTGCTCACTGGCCACTTTCCTCTCCATCTGGGCCACTTTGGAGGCAGCTCCCCGCTGGAGGAGTGGTCCCAGAAGGGGCTTCTTGGCTGGTTCCAAGAGCAGGTCCCCTACGGAGGCACAGCGAGGCTTGGGAACTGGAGGATTTCCTTCAGGTTGCAAGGAGGGCAGCTGATCTTTAGTCGCCAAGTCCAAACTCTCCTTATTTGCTTCTTGCTCTGACAAAGCTTCTCCCTGCTCCTCTCCATCTTGGAAAACAGTCTCAGAGGTTTCATCGCCAGCAACACCGGGGCTTTCACCGTTCGGGACATCAGGTGGGCGTCCACCTTCAGAAGAATCCACCTCTGAACTGTTCCTGTTCAATTTCATGCTGGCTCTCAACTTCTCCGACAGAACCTTAGGAGGAGGAGCTGGAGGTTTCAGTGTCTCCTTGGCTGCTTCGGATAAATTTTCTTTACTTCCGTGCACAGACAGATCAACGGCCTCGTCCTCCAGCTGCTCGGTAGCTGGACTGTCCCATGTCACCCTCATCTTATCAGATAAGATCTTTAGAGGAGGAACTGGAACTTTGGGATTGTTTTTGTGGGCCTCCGTTAGGTCCTCTCCATCTAGGGTGGCTTCAGGTTCTTCGGCGTCATCGCCTGTAGCAGCAACATCTTCCGCAGAGTCTGCGTTGTCACCGGGTGCTGCGGTTTCCTTAAGGGGCTTCGCAGGAGGCATGGGGGGTTTCTTGGCTTCTACATCTTTGGGCACGGAGTCAGTGCTTGGCTTCTCCGAAGGAGGCATAGGCGGTTTCGTAGGTGGCATGGGTGGTTTGGGAGTCTCCTTCGGAAGAGGAACGTCAGCAGCCTCGCTGGTGTCCACCATGATGGATGGAGGGCCGCTGTCTGGTACGTCCAGGTCAAGCCTCAGGATCCCATCTGACACCCCACTGGCAACCTAGGCAAGGAAACAACAAGACAGATGTTGGGCATCAGGCTGCAGCAGAAAGGGAGATGGGAAGCAGGGCCACCCCAGCAACTCCGCTGAGACAATAGCTCCACCAGGTTCTTCCCTTCCGCAACTGTCTTTTAGCAGCAGCCATTCCATCAGGCTGCAGCTAAGGGAAAGAAAATAAGCAGAACCACCCCATCAGCTCTGCTGGGAGACCAACTACATTTGGCTCCTCCTCTTCCTGAACCATTTTCATTCCACCTGGTCATTACAAGACCTATGTTTTTTTAAAAAAGAAGTGACCCTTGCTTGTTTCCCCCCCTCCAGATCCCTTTTTCCTTTTGTGTCATGTCTTCTAGATTGCAAGCCTATAGGCAGGGACTGCCTGGCTTTTACTGCTCTATGTAAGCTACTCTAGGAGACTTTTCATCAAAAGAGCATGTTAAAAGAAGATTTACAATGATAATCAGTCCTTTGAGCCACCTGGTTTTCAAAGAACAGTTTAGGAACTCCTGAAACCAAAAAGGCAATTACAGTCCTACCTCGGCTTACGTTACCCTCGGGTAACGTAAACTTTGGGTTGCGAAAGTGGCATGTGCAGAAATGCTCTATGCACCATGTGCATGCACAGAAGCACTATTTCATGCCACGCGCATGTGCAGAAGCAGCACCTCTGGTTGCAGAAACCTTGGGATCTGGCCGGAGCTCCGGAATGGATCCTGTCCGCAACCAGAGGTACCACTGTACTACAGAGCTAAAATAAGGCATCTGACACAGGCACTGGGTATACACCACTGTTTTTCCCTTACTGACCACCACGCATTGATTTTTTATTTTAGTTAAGTTTTCTTTAATGTGGCAGGTTCACACAGCATGTAGGCAGACACAAGAGTGAGACCTGATCTCATCTTCCCTCCTTATGCAGAGCCTCAAATGTGAACCAAGTACTACAGAGGTCCTTCCAGCACTGCTGTCGGACAACAGTAACTTTGGTTTTATTGTAATCCTTCCAACATAGAACTGTTGTCTGGAAAGTATGTCACATGGGTCCCTTACATCAGCCTTCACCAACCTGGTGCATGACAGATGTTTTGGACTGCAACGTCCATAATCCCCAGGCAGCATGGTTGTGCTGTCCAAAACATCTGGAAGAAACCGTGTTGGCTTAAGGCTGTGGGTGGTTTGCATGAGTAGGGCCTTCTCTTGCCCAAGAGGGCCACCCCTCCAATATGCGCCTTTCCTGCCTATTGAGGTCATCATTTAAGTCCTTCTTGTGCATCCTCTCACCATCAGTGAGGGCGTCTGTGGTGACTGTTTTATTCCTTTGGGCTTTCAATTTGGAGTGACTGTGATGCTCTGGCAATTCACTTTCACTCTACTGGTTATTATCGATTTTTAAATCGTGTACATGTTTAACCTTGATTTATGATCGTTTTACTATCATTTGGATTTGGCTTGTTGGCTAGCAGTTTCACAGGCTTCTGCCAAGCAGCAACCTAGAAACATTTGGACTAAATATAAGCACCAAATTGTAAGGTTCTGTGCACAGGAGAGGTGTAGCATGAGAGCCCAAGGATTGATCCCATAGATTGCAGCATAAATAACTTATCTGCAAGATTTACTACAGATCTGGAGGTGGGGGGACAGGGAAAATGTGTTATATATAATTCCCTTGTCCAAAATTAATCATATACCATATAATATAACAGAATATATACTTCCAGAACTTTTTTTTCAGCCGGAACTCAGTTCTGGCACATCAGTTGTGTATGATTGCCATTCTAAGAGAACAAGGGAGGTGTTCCTAGTGAGTTCCGGCACCTCTTTTTCTAAAAAAATAGCACTATATATTTCACACATATACATGCAAAGACAAAGACTCTCAGCTAACAAATTCAATATTTGCTGTAATGAATCTGTTCATCTTTAAGGTGACACAAGATATTCTGATTGTTTTCACTGCAAGAAACTAATGTGGCTACGTGCCAGGAAATTGTTTACAGGGGAAAAGCCATAGCGCAGGCATGGCCAAACTTGGCCCTCCAGCTGTTTTGAGACTACAATTCCTATCACCCCTGACCACCGGTCCTTTTAGCTAGGGATGATGGGAGCTGTAGTCCCAAAAAAAGCTGGAGGGCCAAGTTTGGCCATGGCTGCCATTGCGCATAGCTGTGAATGCAGATGGTCCCAGGTTCAATCCCCAGCAACTGCAGTTGGGGATGAGAGAGACTCCTGCTTGAGACCCTGCAGAGCCACTGCCAATTAGTGCAGACAGTACTGAGGTGGTTGAACCAATGGTCTGACTCAGTATACAGCTGCTTCCTAGGTTCCAAAGGCTGCACAAATTGGCTCTCGTGGTGCATCTAAGATACAGAATTCAGACTACCAAACATAAAAAGTGGAGTTGGTTTTTTTCTCTAGCCTTGATTATTACCTCTTTGAGATGGTATCTGGTTGGTGGACGACGGCCCTGAGCCAGTTTTGCTCTGTTTCGTGTCACGTGTTCCAGAGACAGGTCTGGATCAACCTTCACCTTTAAACAGGGAAGAAAACAAGAGGAGGGAAACAACATCACCTTCTTTGCCCATGAATGGATGAAGACTAAAGGAATCCAGCCTTCCAACCCTGCTAAAACTACCAAGTTTGGATGACTCCTTCACACATTAATTGATACAGCACAGAAATCAATCACTGCACTAAAAACCACTACGAGTTATAATTTATATAAGAGATGGCCTTGTTTTTCCAACCCTCCCGGCACCAAGTAGAGAGTTAGCCACTTCTGATCTGGAGAGCAGTAGCCCTCGCGTTACAATAGGAAAGGTCTCTGGAACATAGGACTGTAACTCAGTGGTAGTACACAGTCTTTGCACACAGGAGGTCCTAGCAATTCTACACAAGGCAGGGAAAAATAACAGAATCATAGAACTGTAGAGTTGGATGGAACCACAAGGGTCATCTAGTCCAATCCCCTGCAATGCAGGAATCTTTTGCCCAACGTCAGACTCGAACCCACAACTCTGAGATTAAGAGCCTCATTCTATACCAACTGAGCTACCCTAGGAATCTTATTTTGAAACCCTGAAGAGCCATTTGGTGTAGACAACACTGAGAGAACATCTGTGTTCTCTCATCTTATACTAGGAAGGAGGACATGTCAGATTTTTCAACCTCAAACTAGACCCTTCCACCCAAACTACTTAGGGTCTCAACAATGCCGTTAACATCTCTTCTCCCACTAAAGAGAGCCCCCTACCACCAGGATGAAAAAGTTGGCTGTCACAAGTTTATAACATTTGCCAGAGTGGTACAAGCAAGTATTTGGGGTCCATTGGCTGGGACGGTTGATGCATGATTTGCACACAAAGTTCAAAGACACTGCCATTGTTCAAACATTTAAAAATGACAAGCTCTTTTTGAAAATCGATTGATTGTGTGTGAAGCAGCCCTGACTTCCAAATAACTATATAGTACATATAGTACTGCCATGGAGGCTGGTGGTTATATTATCCTTAATATGCAATTGCACTGGAATGTATAGTAAGGTAAAGGTAAAGGTACCCCTGCCCGTACGGGCCAGTCTTGCCAGACTCTGGGGTTGTGCGCCCATCTCACTCAAGAGGCCGGGGGCCAGCGCTGTCCGGAGACACTTCCGGGTCACGTGGCCAGCGTGACATCGCTGCTCTGGCGAGCCAGAGCTGCACACGGAAACGCCGTTTACCTTCCCGCTAGAAAGCAGTCCCTATTTATCTACTTGCACCCAGGGGTGCTTTCGAACTGCTAGGTTGGCAGGCGCTGGGACCGAGCGCACCCCGCCGCGGGGATTCGAACCGCCGACCTTTCGATCGGCAAGCCCTAGGCGCTGAGGCTTTTACCCACAGCGCCACCCGCGTCCCCCCGGAATGTATAGTACATTCGTCATTAATCAATATGTTGTTGTGATTGGCAGTCCCTTTTATGATAACCTTAGATGTTACAATGTTCATATAAAGCAAACTGACTTATTTGTCAGCTTGATGTGTTAAGTTTTGAAATGATTTTAGTATTTGATTGTTATGAGCAATGATGTATTGACTTATTGATACAATAAGATTTTCTGCTGTAGCAGAGTCCAATAACCTTAGAATCATGCTGAGATTTTTCAGCAATGGAGAAAAGGGCCCCATAAAGTCTGTTCTAGCACCCTTCTGGATTCTCTTCTCGTACATAGTTCTTTTTCCAGAAAGACCCAAGTTTTCAGCCTTAGATGCTTTGGAAGCCTGCTCACCCAGGAGACTCTTCCTTTTGGACGCTGTCAGCAAGGGGCAGATGGAGTTCATTAGCACACCCACCCACCAGAGGAAAACAATATGTCCAGACTTCACAATACACTAGTTCAGGGCATCCACAGCCGCCCCTGGCAGCGACTCCATAGATACAGCAAACGCTGCCAGCATCACCCAACATGACATCACTTCTGCAATTCCTTCTTCCTGTGTAACGGGAGCCCTGAATGCCTTGAATTCAGCCTCCCTCCCCCCCGCCTTGGATTTGCAAGGCAACTGCAATTAGTCTGCTGTTCCCAGCTGGCCCTGTTGTGCTCAGTTTGAGGAGCGGCGATACCACGATACTCAAAGCCAATTCAGTTCTGCTGGAAGGGGGAAATGTTGTTGGTGGGAGAGGGATGGGTTAGTTCTTATGAAACCGTTTCCTTCTCAACGGTTACAGCTCCACACTGCACACACACACACACACACACACACAAAAATCTCCCTTTGGGCTTAATTGCGAGAGAGAGCGAGGAGGGGAGGAGACGGAAAACCAGACTCCAAGTTCATTCAGAGTTTACATTCCGCTGCCAAAACTGCCCTTGATACAGGCCCACGGAGGGCCAGCCCAAGCAGATTTTCTTCTCCGGCCAAAATAAATCCTTTCCCCTCGGCACCGCCAAGCCTAGAGCTAGATGCAATACTGGGGGGAAAACACCCACCTGAAATTCACTTGCTCATGCGATATCACTGCTTATAGGAGGAGCAGGTGTGGGACTTATTGCAGCCTGAGAGCTGCATTCCTTCATGGGAAACCCTCAGAAGGGGCTTGGGCCAGAAGCAAATGGTGAAGCAGCAGGAGGGACTTTTACCTCCGGATAGTAGATGACAGGGACGCAGGTGGCGCTGTGGGTGGAGCCTAGGACTTGCCGATCAGAAGGTCAGCGGTTCGAATCCCCACGATGGGGTGAGCTCCCGTTGCTCGGTCCCTGCTCCTGCCAACCTAGCAGTTAAAAAGCACCTCAAAGTGCAAATAGATAAATAGGTACCGCTCTGGCGGGAAGGTAAACGGCGTTTCCGTGCGCTGCTCTGGTTCGCCAGAAGCAGCTTAGTCATGCTGGCCACATGACCCGGAAGCTGTACGCTGGCTCCCTCGGCCAATAAAGCGAGATGAGCGCCGCAACCCCAGAGTCGGTCACAACTGGACCTAATGGTCAGGGGTCACCTTTACCTTTACAGTAGGTGACATTCCAGGAAGGAGAGGTGTGCGTGTGCAGATTTCTGCACGGCTGGGATGTAGCCTGCTGGACAAAAGTAAGAGTCACATCCACTGCTCCACCCAGTTTTGCCTCTGGCCCCACCTACCACGGGCGTGTGGCTCTTGGAAGGCTGCCATTGAGGGAATGTGGCCTCAGGGATGAAAAGGTTTCCCTACTCCTGCTACAGACAATGCTGAGCTGGATGGACCAGTATGAAGCAGAGCAGAAAGCAGCTCCCTGTCGTTCACGCTACCTCGTCCAGTATTCTGTTTTTGCCCCGGTTGATGCCGTCATTGAGAGCTTTCATCCACGACTCCTTTTCTTCCCCACTGGATGCCTGAAATTTGATATCTTGCACCTGAGAAAGGAAAAGAGAGAGGTGTGGACTATACTCAAGGACTGTAATTTGGGTTTACGGTTGGCTTGTGTGTGTGTTTTTTCTTTTTAAAATAAAATCAACGCCCATCCCGCATTTCAATCAATGCTGAGAAATCCACCGAAGCACGGGCAACGGCTAAACCAGGCAGCTCAAAGGAACAAAGATTTTCTTGTGCTGTAGATAAGGCTTGAAAAAGTTGATCACACCCAACTGCAGAGGACCAGCCACCTTCTAGAGAACCAGCAATCTACTTCCCTGTAGACCAGGGGTGATTAACTTACAGCCCTCCAGATGTAACTGGTCCAATCATTCCTGAATATTGGCCATGCTGGTGAAGGCTGTTGAGGGTTGGAAGTCCAAAAACATTTCGAGGGACAAAGGTTTCCCATCCCTGCTGTAACGTGTAATTCAGTTTTAGCCCAGCCAGAAAATGTGTTTTCAGCCAGGGATGGGGAAGGTATGACCCTCCAGATGTTGTTGGACTTCAACTTCCATCATAAAATAAAATAAAATAAAATAAAATAAAATAAAATAAAATAAAATAAAATAAAATAAAATAAATAAATAAATAAAATAAAATAAATAAAATAAATAAAATAAAATAAAATAAAATAAAATAAAAATAATATAATATAATATAATATAATATAATATAATATAATATAATATAATATAATATAATATAATAATTTATTATTTATATCCCGCCCATCTGGCTGGGTTTCCATGACCATGGCCATGCTCATTGGGGTTGATGGGAGTTGGAGTCCAACAACATCCAGAGAGCGACACATTGACCACTGGCCTGGTATCTACTGGGTGACTGGATTCTTCCAAAGAATTCTGGAGTTCGTGGGCCTCTGTTATTTACTAGAGACACCTGTAAAAACGTAAGAGGTGGCTAACAGCACTTAAAATCAGTGGTTTGGATCTTAACTCTCTTTCTATCTTTGGAAAAGAGTTCACATTTGTGAAAAATGAAAGTAAATGGCTGTGGCGCCCCCAAGCAGAATCCCCAGCATCTTCAGGTAGGACTGGGAAAGCTGCCCTGCCTCCAGCCCTGGAGAGCGGCTGCCAGTCAGTGTAGACAACACTAAGCTAGATAGAAGAATCGTCAGACTTGGTATAATGCAGTTTTCAGTGTTCATATAAATGGGACGTTGCTGCCTTCTCCTTCCTTCTGTAGTCCCATGTGCCCTTCTGTCTGTTTCTGTGAGCTGGGGGAGTGCAGATGGAGTGGAAGGTTGGGCAGAAATCGCCTTGGCCACATGCATTAATGGAAGAACAATTTAGGATCTAAGACAATAAGCACAACAACAACACCCTAAAAGCTCAGTATTGTCTGGTGGTGGCTCTCCAGGGTTTCAGGCAATCCAGCCTGGAAGTTCTGAGGACTGAATCTGGGACCTTTTGCATACTCTACTACTCAACCACAGCTCTTCCTCTAAAAACAGAGTGAGATTCTAGTCCTCATTATTCTGAATAGTTGATTGGAATGGGATGCTGCCTTATTCCAAGTCAGAATATTGGCCCATCCAGCTCAGTATTGTCCACACTGACTGGCAGCAGTTCTCCAGGGTTTCTAACACGGGACATTCTTATGCCTATCTGGAGATGCCGGGGATTGAACCTGGGACCTTCTGTAAGCAAAGCAGATGTTCTTCCACTGAGCTATGTCCCTTCCCCACCTCTGCCCCCTTGTAGACAATACTGAGCTAGGTCTAACTCTGTAAAAGGCAGATCTGATGGGGTGTTTTTTTTCTCCCCTGCTGCTGCAGCTGCTACCAAGGTAAAAAGGGTCAGCAGCCCAAGCAGACAACCAAGAGGGACAGTTTGCTGGATGGACATTGTGCTCCTCCCAAGAGCCCAGCCAGCTGAGTCTGAGTCACCCTTATAAACACAGCCCTGCAGTACCAGGAAAAAAAAGCTGTTCTGGCAAATCACAGCATGAGAGCACCCATGCTGAACGACGCGTGCAGTTTACTGTAATTTTAAGAGTGTCCCAATAGCCCAGCCATCTTTTTCCATGACAAGCCGTTGGCTAGAAACCCACAGAATGAAGGCGAGGGGAAAGGTGTGTTTTGGGAAGGGAGTCACATACATTTTATTTGGAGAGAGAGAGAAGTCACTCGATGCATTCCAAAACAGACACGCTTCCCCCACGAAATAACAGCAGCAGCATCCATCTAAATTGCCCAGAAAGCCACTCCCGACCTAATGAGGGGGTGGGGTTGTGGGTTCACGCCCCCAACTACAATCTCGCGGGGCTGGCGTCAGCCCCGCGGGACGCAGGGATTCCCCTAGTTCATCAATATTCATCACCCTCAGCGCCAGCCAATCGGATGGCGCTGGGGGCGGGCTTGCCAGGTACACTTAAGGTCAGGGCAGCCCTGACTTGCCCCCTTTGCTTTCCTGCAGCAGCTGCGGTTTCCCACCCACCCGCCCTCTAGGTTTACATTCGGACTTTGCTATGGGCTTCGGCTGGTCGCCGCAAGGGGCCTGGTAGGAGTTTTTCCATTTGGCAAATTGGCTGTATTTTGAGCCACTTTCCTACCTCGTAGGAAAACGTCACAACTTCTGGTTTTGGCGGTTAGGCATTGGCAGGGGTATTGTTATGCAAATGATGTCGGGGGGGAGGAACGCCATCACCTCCCCTAAATCTTGATGGGTAGTTCGTTAAAGGACTCCGGGGGGCGTTGCCTCGTCCGAAACCTACGGAGGCTAGGGCCTAAAGCGCACCCCCGAGCGGTAACCCCTCGAGGAGCGCCTAGGGATGTGCATCTCGGGGGCTCCCCCTGTTTAACCCTTCCCGGTTAGACCGGATAGTCTGTTAGGGCCAATGCTTAAAGCCAATACCGCTCTTACCTGTAATCAATAAAGTTGTGGCCATTTCCGCCCATTAACCTTAATTCTGGTGTCCGGTGTCTTTATTTACTCCATTTGTGGGTGGGGGCGGGTATCGCCATGCAACAGCAAGAACAGGAGTTGAAGGAGGCCTTCCAAGCCTGTCAGACTGGTCCACAGGACTTTACCCAAACCATGTCCCTTTTCCAGGCCACAGCTCACATCAGTCCTCCTGACATGGCCCCATAAAGTGCTTCTGCTTGGCTGAAAAGCATCCTTGAACCATGATACCTGTATACCTGAAGGAGCATCTCCACCCCCATCATTCAGCCCGGACACTGAGATCCAGCGCCGAGGGCCTTCCGACGGTTCCCTCATTGCGAGAGATGAGGTTACAGGGAACCAGACAGAGGGCCTTCTCAATAGTGGCGCCCACCCTGTGGAACACCCTCCCTTCAGATGTGAAGGAAATGTAGCTATCCCATCTTTAAAAGACATCTGAAGGCAGCCCTGTTTAGGGAAGTTTTAAATATTTAATGCTGTATTGTTTTTAACATTCGATTGGGAGCCGCCCAGAGTGGCTGGGGAAACTCAGCCAGATGGGCGGAGTATAAATAATAAATTATTATTATTATTATTATGCCTCTTGCTTTCCTGGATGAAACGTTCTTGTTGAGGAATACAGTGGTACCTCGGGTTAAGTACTTAATTCGTTCTGGAGGTCCATACTTAACCTGAAACTGTTCTTAACCTGAAGCACCACTTTAGCTAATGGGGCCTCCTGCTGCCGCCGCGCCGCCAGAGCCCGATTTCTGTTCTTATCCTGAAGCAAAGTTCTTAACCTGAAGCACTATTTCTGGCTTAGTGGAGTGTGTAACCTGAAGCGTATTTAACCTGAAGCGTATGTAACCTGAGGTACCACTGTACAGCCTGCAGTATCAAGGTGATGTTGTATTGTTTGCTCCACCCACTTTGCCTCTGGCTCCACCCACCAAAGTACGGGGCCCCCGGAATATTGTCCCTGCACCTGGTCTGACCAGCAGCAGCACTTTAGGATCTAAGACAAATAAAATTCTACCCCATCCCACGAGAGACTTCTGATTGGAAGAGTCAGGGATTGAATCTGGATTTTTTTCTGCACAATATCTTTGGATCTGCATATTCTTCCAAATGGACAGCTGGATTAGACTCCACATCACGCGACTGAGGCCGTGAAATTTCTAAGCATCCTGGCAAATTTTCAGCATCTAGAGATGCAATATGGGTCTCTCCCCGGGCCCCCACCTCCGAAAGTGAATCCACACCCTCATGTCAAATTCTCAGCCATGAGCTGGCTTCTCCCCCCACCCCACCTCTCATCCTACCCCTTGACAAGAAAAAGCAACTGCAGTCCGCTTGGGGTCAGGGGGTAGAAGGGGCTGAAACTTCAGGACAGAGGAGCAAGTGTCACCAACGTGTTTGTGTGTTAATGCTCTGTTGATATATCTTCCCACAGCTGCAATTCCAAAACAGGAAAATAAAAAAGGGACGCACAATTGTGTATGCTGGCCTGCTAATGGAAGCCCGGTGTAACATCTGCACAATTATGTTGCCTGTCAACACTCGCGCCAGATTCCCAGTGAATGCAAGCTATGTGGGCGTTGGGGAGGCTCTGAACAGTAAACTTTTCGTTGGCGTGAGTCAACCACATCAGCCATAGAGTCTCATTCTGAAATTGGTCCCCCTGCATCCCTTTGGTTTTCAACAAGGCAGGATCAGAAACCAAGAACTGCAAAAGGGATTTGTGCACTGAAAGGCTCCGCAAGAACCCAAAATGCCTTTGCAACAGTGTACAGAGATCCTCCATTTGAGGGGTGATCCTGAGCCAGTTAAACAGGCGATGAATTTGCAGCTGGTGGGAGGCACATCTGGATGGGGGCGGAGCCAGGATCCCACCCCACCCCCCTTGTTTGTTCTTTCAAGGCATGCAGGAATTGGAACAATTAGTGTGTGGCTAAGAGAAGTTTCATGTTAATGTTAAGTAAAGGTAAAGGGACCCCAGACCATTAGGTCCAGTCGTGACCGACTCCGGGGTTGCGGTGCTCATCTCGCTTTATTGGCCGAGGGAGCCGGCGTACAGCTTCCGGGTCATGTGGCCAGCATGACTAAGCCGCTTCTGGCGAACCAGAGCAGTGCACAGAAACGCCGTTTACCTTCCCGCCGGAGTGGTACCTATTTATCTACTTGCACTTTGAGGTGCTTTCGAACTGCTAGGTTGGCAGGAGCAGGGACCGAACAACGGGAACTCACCACATCGCGGGGATTCGAACCGCCGACCTTCTGATCAGCAAGTTCTAGGCTCTGTGGTTTAACCCACAGCGCCACCCGTGTCCCTATGTTAATGTTAGTGAGAGGTTATAAGAGAAGCCACTGGTCCTCTGGGCTACTGCCACATAGTAAGTAGTGTAGTGGCAAACTCAGAAGTGCAGCGTCCCTTCATGATAGTCACAGCTATGACTCCTCATCGTCACACACCCCCACAGCCATGCCCCTTCTAAGATTATACAATAATAATTAGGAATCCATTGCAATGATCAATGCAGATCTGTGTTGCCTTTCAGCTACCATCTACTATTTTCTGTGCACATACACGGGCAAATGATTTGGAGGGCTCCAATATCTTATTTTGGAATGACTTAAGTTGCATTTCCCTTATACGTAACAGAACCTACCGTTCTCTTGAAATTGAAGCCCCTTGCGTTTTCAGTGTTCCTAAATGCTTAGCCTTGGGGCATGCAGAACAAACTCCCCCTCTGTGTTCTTCCTGCAGACCTTCTCCAGAGTGACCCCCAGAGCCAATCCTCAGTGACTGACTCACCTCCTTTCACGCTGACTGGCTCCAATCAACACAAAGTTGGTTCATCTCAGTAGCTAAAAGAACTTCTATTTCATGCTGATTGGGCAGTTCTGGGATGCTAGAGACAGGGACCCTGCTGCAGAAAGCATAGCAGGTCTTTGACGGTGTTATGTACTGAGTTGAATAGGATCCAAAATGCAGCAGTCTGCTTGGTCCTAGAACAATAGGATCCAAAATGCTGCAGTCTGACTGGTCCTAGAACAATAGGATTCAGAATGCAGCAGTCTGATTGGTCCCAGAACAATGCAGCAGTATGATTGGTCTGCAGGAGCCACCCAATCCAGCTCCAGATGGAAGTGAATCCACAACCTGATTGGCCTACAGGAGAATTCCGGAATTAGCCAATCACGTGCAGCCCATTGTGTAAATAATGTATATAGAGCAGATACTTTGGGGGAACTTTCATTCCTCCTCACCACTATGAGCTGAATAAAGAGCATGAAATCCACTCTCGACTCCGAGTATATTTCAGACCTCTTGCAACCCTGAATCACCTCTGTTTGCGCCCATAAGGCTGACCCTTCCAACAGGCAGAACGAGAAGGCTGCTACATGGGAAAGTCCAGCTCTTCAGCAAACTACACTGTGCCCTAGCTAGAGCAACACAGCACACACTTTATATACTTAAGGTTTTAAGTTCAGTCTCTGACTTCTCAAGCCAATACATCTGCATGACACCCTGGAGAGCTGTGAAAAAGAACAGCTGTGAAGTAAGTACACAGCACCAGGCAGCAGTGGTGGCTTCTTGGGGAGGGATGACAAATAAATGCAATTCATCCATGTACAAAGAGAAGGACATCCTACCTTGTGACCCGGAGACCGGATTAAAATGAACCGATTTTTCCTTTTCAGGAGGGCACGCAACTCTTGGCACCTGTCGTACCGTTCCAGCTCCACAGTCTCGACACACTTCTGTTCATCCTGCAAGGGGCGGGGGAATAAAATGCACTGGGTTACTCTGATCTAGGACATGAAACCAGGCGCAATGTTGCGCGGAGGGCACTGGGCTTGGACTAGGACGGCCTGGGTTCGAATCCTGCCTCAACCCGAGCCCACTGGCCAGGCCTCGACCAGCCATTCTCATTTCAACAAGCATTCTAGGCTGTGCAATTCTGCAAGGGTGTAAAAAGCTCGCAGATTGCAACACTGGACGACAGAAGGCAGCTTGTGAGTGTGGAAACGGAACTTAGTGATTTAAGTTCATGGCGGAAGGAAAAGAACACAGATGTAATAAAATTCACACACAATTAGGTATTTCAAACTTTTACACAGAGATGGAAAATATAAGCGTATGTCTACCATATATGAAAGCAGAGCCATTTTTTCTCATTTTGGATCATTTTTTCCTGCAATTTCCGCTACTTTACATCTCTTAAGATGGTTCTGTGGTGAGGAACGGCAGGGAGTTTCACAGGGAATCGAAATCAATCTCTTTGCCCCCTCCCAGCCCCCTCAACTGCTGGAAATGTTACATCCTTTTGTGGCTACGGTCCAGGTGTGAGGAACCTGCGGCCTTCCATGTTGCTAGACTACAACTCCCATAATCCCTGACCATCAGTCATGCTGATGCTGAGGCTGACAGGGTTTGTAGGTTCCTCACAGTGGGAATGTCAGCACAGGGAAGGAGGCCCAATTGACTGCACTGTAGAAGCAACTAAAATGGTCACTGGGCAGCAATATTCTAAGGGTGCAAAAGTGTGCTGTTCCAAATTCCCTTGAGACGAAACGTGTCCATATATCTGGTACAGCTTGCTGGGTAAAGCAGAAAAATAATCTTATCATTATGGGCCCAATCCTGCAAAATCTAGCTTGTGCAAGAAACCAAGTCACAGGAAACTGAACACAACGGAAACGTTGAGCAAACACAGATTATTTTTGTCTGGGTCCGTTTGAAGTCATGAGAAGCTCACCAGTCAAAGCATATATAGCTAGATTGAGTTCAATATTACTGCCCTGTCCCAGCCCACCAGAGTCATGGGGTGCCTGAAACCCCACTGGTTTTCTTTCTTCTTCTTTTTACTTTCTTTCTCTCTCTCTTTGCATTACAAGCAAATCCCAGCTCATTAAGCACATTTAAACCATACTATAACATATAAGAGCTTATAAGGTGAGGTCACAAAACTCAGGAGTTCTGCCTGAGACTTTATTGCTTCCATTACATATAAAATCATTTTTCTCACACCTGAAAACTGGCACTGCACTAGATGCTACATGGTTTAAATTGTATTTTTACTGCATCTTTTATTTCTTATATATTGCATTTTATTGTATTACTATTTGAATCCCATAGATTTCATATTGCGATACTATAAAATACAATACAAGAAGCCATAACAAATACAATTAAAGATCAGTATGGATAGTTACTGTGAGGGACGTGCTGTCTCCCGTCTTCAACTACAAATTAACAGAGTCAAACCCTCGCAGAGCTATAATTTGCAGAGTTCTCTGGGAAGAGGTATTGATTGTTAAACCTCTCAGGGAATTGGACCTCTGTGAGGGGAACAGGGGTTAACCATTCTCAGCACCATAACAGATCACAGTTCCCAGGATTCTTTGGGGAAGCCATAACTGCTTAAAGTGGTTTGATACTGCTTGTGGATACTGGATGTGGCCTAAGATTCAGCTTCTGGATTGGCCTGCTTCTGTACATGGAATCTGGGAGCAGGATGTGTCATCTTGTCCTTTGTCTCAGGCAGAAAGACATCATCAGCCAGTCCTGAGCAGGTATGTGTTGGAGAAGGCACGGCTTTAAATATTGAAATACCCAAACCACTTAGGGCTTTATAGGTAATAACCAGCACTTTGAATTGTGCCCAAGAATGAATCATAGAATTGTAGACTTGGAAGTTACCCTGAGGAATCTAGGTCAGGGGTCAGTAAGGTTTATCTTGCCTGGGCATGCACACGCCTGCGATTTCCGGCATCTGCACGTGCGCAGACGTGATTTCCAGCGCTGTGGAAGCGAGTTGCCACGCTGCGTCGGTTTAGCGCAGCGTGCAAGCGGGCAGCTCAGTTTGGGGATGGCTCGTGGGCCAGTCAAATGACCTCCGCGGGCCGCTTCTGGCCCATGGGCCTTAGGTTGGTGACCCCTGATCTAGGCCAATCCCCTGCAATAAGCAGGAATATGCAACTGTCCCATGAAGGGATCAAACCTGCAAACTTGACATGATCAGCACCACCAATGAGCTGGAAGCCTGTTCAGACTGAAAGGGGAAAACAGTATTCTGCTCAAAATACCAGTGAGCCCTGACAACACTCTGGGAGCTGTATTATTATTATTGTTGTTGTTGTTGTTGTTGTTGTTAGAATTTATATACCGCCCTATACCTGGGGGTCTCAGGGCGATTCACAGAATAAAATCAAGTCATAAAACCACAAGATACATAATATTTGCACCAGCTAGCATTTCCTACTAACTTTTCAAGGGCAGCTGTATGTGAAGCATGTTGCAGTAATCCATGCTAAATGTGCCCAAGGTACATGCGAAGGTAGCCAGATCAGCTTCACCTAAAAAAGGGTTGAGTTGGCACACCAACCAAAGGTCCATGAAGGCTTTAATCCTGAAATGGCCCATTTACACAGCCACAAAGTTCCTTATATGATATTACAATGGGGGGGGGTTGCGCGTGCGTGAAGGAACCCCTTTCCTACCTTTCATTGCACAAGGCTAACTCTATTGTTATCATTTTATTTATTTATATCCTTTTTTTTTTTTTAATAAAATTTTTATTTGGTTTTCTGGTTTTATAAAGACAAAACATACACAAAGAAAAGAAAAAGACAAAAACATGTATAAAATCAACCAATCCCCGTTTCATAAACTTGTTCCCTGACTTCCCCCCACCTCCCCTCGTGCATCCCAGTTTCAAGATTATATCAGCAAGTTGGTATTTCTCCTCTTAACAATGTTATTCATCACCTTATTTTATAATAAAAATTAATTTTCCTAAGTTGGACTTAAGTTCTCTTCCATCGATTTTCCTTTTATCTTAATTAAGAGTCATATTAACCAAACCTAAAAGTCTTAAGAGTTTTTAAGAGTCTCTTCTTCCCTCCCTCCCATCCCCGGTTTTTGTCCCTTCCCAATAAAAATCCAAATTCGAATTTCTCAGCCTGGGTTCCTCACGTCCGAGGCTTTCAAATCCCTTTCAGTCCCTCTCCGCCTGTCCCGTTGGTAGTCCTTTATGTCAGTCATCAAGTCTGGGAAAGGTTCTTTCACCATCAAAGTGTTTCCTCTTCCCACAAGGGGGTTCAAAAGTAACTGCTGAAGAATTTCCACAAAGCCTATCTCTTCAAGATCAAAGTCCAAACGGAGGCCCCAAGCATATTTCTTTATTTTAAATTTCTGTGTTCCATTTTGTCCCGGGACCTCCTTCTTCTTCTTCTGTATCTTTCGCAGACTTGTAGTAGATATGTTCCCAGCGTTTCCTTGCTTATGTTCCGCAGATGTCAACTTTTGGTTGTTACTTCCCAGGATTACTTCTTCTTTTTCTTGTTGTTTAGTCTCTTCCAACTCTGTAGGTATTGTTTCCCATTCAGCTGTGAATTCTTTCTCGTTGAGGTCCTCAATACAAAGAGCAGAGTTGCCTGTTCCCAAGGTCATAGTCTCAAGCTGTTTATTCATGGCCAAGCTCTGCTCTTGTAAAGTTCCCACCAATTGAAACATCCTTTCAATTTCCACCAGTAACTTTCCTTCCACAGCCATTGTATCCATTGTAGTTTCACAGAATTCCCCCTAGGGGGAATCTGGTTACTTATTAGCCTTTTCACCAACAATCCTTTCACTGATTATTATTACTTTGTTTCCAACGATTTTAGCTCAATTGTAACTCGTCTTAGTCAAGAGATGACAATTTTTGCACTTTAAACCGACCGTTTGGCAGCTTTGACAGCTGTCAAACTCCGCAGCTCTTACACAGGCACCGAGGCAGGACGTTCCCGGGCCCGGGAGGGGGGGTTGTTTGAAGCAAAAAGAAAGTTCCCAAAACTCCACTCTCCAGCCCAAAATTTCCTTTAGTTAAATCTTAGAAGTTAATGTCCTTTTTAACTCACCCCACCAGGGGTAGGCTCTCCAGCTTAGCTCTTATGCCGTTGCTTAGGTCGTCTGCAAGAGGGGGGGTGCGGACTTCCTTTTAGCACACCCCCCGATCGTCTCCAATTCAAGGTAAAATTTTTATATAGTCCCAATCCGTCTTACTCACGGGTAATTCTTTCAGTCCAAATTTTCAAGGAAGGAAGTCAACGCTCTCTGGTCCTGGCTCGCGGCTTCACTCCACCGAGGTAGCGATCGACTCTCAGTGCCACGCCACCCCCGTATCCCCTCCGCAGCCTTTAAAAAGGCTCTTTGCGAATCAGGGGGGGCGCTTAAGGCACCCGCCGAGTCTTCAGTCCGCAGGCTTCCGCGCCTGCGGTTTTTAAGGGTCCCCGCGTCGCCGGCGCGGCAAAGACCCATCCTCAGTGGAGCCGGTTCCCTCCGGAGCTCGGAGGGAATCCGCCATTTCCAGATCGCGTCAACCCGGAAGTCTCCCATTTTATTTATTTATATCCTGCCCTTTTCACAGAACTGGGATTCGAGGTGGCTCACAAAAATTAAAGCAAACATGAAAAAATCACAGATAGCTAAAAACATATAAAAGATGATAGTTAAAAAGGCATTTTATCTATAATAGAATTAAACAAGTTACAGAAATGCAGTGCAGCACTATTAAAGGCCCCTTCCTTAAAACCAGTCAGTTCCCAAAAGTCTGTTGGAATAAAACAGTCTTCACCTGCCAGCCGGCCACAATACAACCACTGTCTTATATGTCTTCATATGTATTTCATTGTATATTTCTGCCATGCAGAAAAGAATATTTAAAAATATCTATTTCTCTCTATCTACCTTTATACTATGGGAAGGGACTTTGTCCTAGACCAAA